AAATTTTTATTGAATATGTCAATGCTGTTGTAATGAAATGCCTCTTCTAATCATTTGGTTATGAAATAAACAATTAAAAATAAATAAATGTGCAATTTTATATATAAAAAAAGTTAATCTCTGCTATTCCCATCAGTCCATGTACTGTGGAATTTGGAATGATATATCCATATGGTTAAAGAAATCAAATGAATTTTTTCCAAAGTCTTGGTCCATAAGAATACATGCACATACAGTGATTGCATATTTATTTTATTTATATATTTTGAGGAATAATGCAATTTTTTTTCAGTGTGTCAAGTATTAGTTTATGAAGGTTTATGTCAATGTAAATGACAAAAGAAAAGCAGCATTTTTTCTGTCTTAAAAAATGGTAAAAATATATGATTGCAATTTGAGAATGCTATAAATTATGTCAGGAATAAAAGAAGTGCAGAGTTATTTATTTCTTAAGTATTCCCTGGAAGAAGCAGAGTAGATTGCTATTTATTTATTTTATTATTTTTATTTTTTGTGTATGAATGTATTGCCTGCATGTATGTAAGTGCACCCATGTTGTGCAAGGCCTGTGGAGGTCAGAAAAGGGCATTGGAGTCCCCTGAAACTGCAGTTATGGGTGGTTGTTATCTACCATGTGGGTGCTGGGAACTAGGTCCTCTGCAAGAGCAGCAATGATCTTAACCACTGAGCCATCTCATCAGCCCCTTATTTATTTTTAATTCAGGGGGGTTTATTTTAAAATTTTTATTACATATTTATTTATTTTGCATGCATATGTGGAGAGGGGGAATGAGGGGAGGTATGCCACAGTGCCCAGATGGAAAAGAGAGTCAGCTCTTTCCTTCCACCATGTGGGTCCTGAGGATTGAACTCAGGTCATCAGGTTTCCAGCAAGCACCTTTACCTGCTGGGCCATTTCACCAGCCCATGCTGGTGAGTAGGAGGTAGCTCCTGCCAGCAGGCTTCTTGATAGTGTTAGATTCGTTTGACCAGTAGAGGACAATTAGACGATCAGTGAGAACAACAGTCATGCTTTCTTGCTTGTTAAATGCAAGATCTGATCAAGGCCATCAGGTAAAGTAGAAGTCCTCATCTTATTATCTGCAACCAGTATATGGACACTGGTGAAAAGCAGAACTAGAAGCAATTAAGTGAAGATACTGAGGTCTGAGGGAAGGGGCAGCTTTCAGGAACAGCTACTGTTTACTGTCATTGGAACCCAAGCACTGACACTGCAAGAAAACCAATGATCTCAAAGACATTTCTACCCAATTCTCACCAGTGACTTCTGCAGGTTCTATTATTGAATGCTGACAATGCAGTAATTTAAATTGTCATTTAAGTTGAGCTCATAACCCAGTCAAACATGAGGTAATTAAAAAAAAAAGTGGTAACAGCAAAAAGAAAGTAAGGGGAGAGAAAAGGAGAAGAAAGAAGGGAAACGAATTAAAAGAAAAAGAGAAGAGAGAGAAGATAGAAAAATCAAAGCATAAATTCCGGAACGCCTGGGCTTGTTTGGCTGCAAGGCTTACCAATGGTTCCTGGAGGGCAGGGTTGCTTTGCTACTTGTCCCTGACGGGTCTTAAACCACATGATTTCTCGGGCTTCCACAGCCTCACAGCTCTCTTCCAGAGCTGGGATTTGGGAGGATGTGGATGACAGGTGTGTGGTAATGTCATCCAATATCTCCACTGCTGGGGATGGTGTACTGGTACTGCGATTTCTTCTGCCCGGCACGGATGGGGTAGTGCTCCTCCCTGCGCTCCAGACTGTGGTCCGAAGGGTGGTGCCTGTCGTGGTGGTGCTTCCCATGCCTGGAGGTCCTGTGGTAGAGATACCTGAAATGATTGGAAAAAAAACACCTACATTGCTTGCTCACAGTAGGACTTCAGGATGTCCCCAAATTAGAAATCATTCATTTGACAGTTAAGAAAGTGTTATGACTATAAATCTTTGACCTTGTTTCATTTTAAACATGACCAAAATATGATAGTACCAAGGTGCCAGAGTGCCACTTGAGTCCAAGTCGGACATTTGACAGGGGCCGAACACACACTTCTTAAGGTTTTATTATTTTTTTCAACTCTAATCACAGAAAACAAAATTACAGCACAGTGAGCCTTTTTGTAAGCTTCTTAATGCTGTCAGCCTTTCTTAAAATTAGAGAATTACTTAGTTTTTTCAAACTTCGTATGAAAAAAAACAGTTACATAAAATATTACATTCATAGTAGGCATTATAATCTGAATGTAAATGTTCCCCATTAGCTCAATTGTAAAAAGTTGGCCCCCAGACAGTGGCCTGTAGCAGGAGGCCTCCAAAGATGGCACAGACCCAGAGCCCTAGGATTCAGCTAGAATTCACTTCACTTCTTGGTCCGCATATAGCCCGCCAAAAGGAGCCCAAACCTCCAGTACCCTGCTCGGGAGCCCAGTGACAGACTGTGTGGCGCCGACCAATCAGAATATGATTCGCTGACTAAAGGGACTTGGGGGCGGAGAAAAGGGAAATAATAAGGTGTGCCTCCTCCTGCATTAAAGGAGTCTGCAGCACCTCGCCTAGTGCTTGCTTCTACCGGACTCTCCGGGTCTCTGTGTCGAGACCCTGCGCCTCTTATCCCCTAATCGGCAGAGACCCGATCCACGTTAGGGTCTTCACAGCTGGCCTGAGGAGAACCCGCAACAGTGGCTCTGTATTGGGAGGTTTTGGATTCTTGAAGAAAGGTTGCCTAGCTGGAGGAAGGGGACCACTGGCGCTCTCCTGGAGGTTGCCTTATGTTACAGCTCTGCGGTGGTTCCACAGAAACTCTGTGTTTCAGGATTTGAGAGAGGGATGTAAGAAAGCAGCCTCCTGTCTCCTGTCATGCCTTCCTGGCCATGATGGACTATGACCTTCAAACTGTGCACCAAAGTAAATCCCCTTAAATACATTAGCTACTGTAAGTTTCTAAATATGAGAGAGACAAAATAATGAGAAAGCGAAAGAGAACAGAAAACGAAAATGTTCACAAGCTATACAATAAAAAGCTTAGTGACCTACTTGCATAAATTAGAACCAACCCAACTTTCAAAAAAACTAAATTTGATTTATTAATGTAAGGTGTAAGTAGCTCCTAACTAGTCATGTTGCTAAGTTATATTTAAGGAATATTTTCATATGAGCAAATGTATTCTAAGTTCCAAATAAAGGTGGTTAGGCTCACTGACCAGATAAATGAACTAAAACACATGCAAGGAATCTGCTAATAATACTAAAAGAACACTCACTAAGAATTTTTTTCAGAAAAATATGTTCACTTTCTTATTGTGGGATTGCAAAAGTACACTACATACATCCACTGTGTTTCTAGTTGCTAGAGTCAGAGCTACCAACTTCAGTTACTGACAGTAGACTGTGGGGACTTTGTCTCCAGCCTGGTGCAAGGTAACTCAGGTTTAGAAACTGCAGGGAGTCCTGTGATAAGCCTCCAGCTGATTGTCATTCATGGTCTACTTAAAGTAAATTAACTACACTGTGCTAAAGGTCAGATCTTCAACCCTCTACTGCCCCAAAGGAGATCCCACACTCATCACAGTGAATTCTCTGTACTTAAAACACCCGAATCCAGGACTGGTATGGCTGAGGGAGAGGGAGTTAATTTCTGAACATTAAACCACTGTAATTGTAGCGTTCCTGAAGTTATCTGGCTTCCTGCTTTCTCCTGTTTTGCTTTCCCTCTCTCCATTTTGCTCCTCTTTATCTTTGATGCCTTTGTATGTGAAAGAGAGTGGGAAGGAGGAAGGGAAGATGGGCTTTTACAACTCATCTGTTTTAAGTTCAGGCAAGATGGAACAGTACCTGTTTCCTCAACTTCTTCTAAATACATTGTATACCCCAAATTGCCAAGTTTTGCTGAATTTTTTTTTTGGGGGGGGGGTCTCATCCTTCTATTTGAAATCACTGTATTTTCCTGTCTGGCCCAGTCAGTGCTATACAGGGAGTTCAGTCATCAGTGAATGAATACAGCACAGTTTTTTTTTTTTTTAATTGTTTTTCTGACAACAGTTACAGCACTCTTCATTCAGTATTTATTTTTCCAAAATGAAAGCTCAAGGTTCATAAAATGTAATTATTAACTCTAATATTTAATACAAGTCAAACAAAATTCAACAAAGTATTTCAAATTATTGGAATTGATGTTTTAAATTATAAACAGTAGAATGACTTAATGCATATTATTTAGATATATATCAATAATGGGGCTGGAGAGGTGGCTCAGTGGTTAAGAGCACTGGCTGTTCTTGCAGAAGACTCAGGTTCAAATCCTAGCACCCACATGGGGTAACTCCAGTTCCAGAGGCTCTGATGCCATCTTCTGACCACTTACAGGCATTGCATGACATAGATGCACTTACATGCAGGGAACACACTCATACATATAAAAAAATAAAATAAATAAATAAATAAAAATACATATACGCCAGCAAAAGGTATCAAAACCATTACTGGAAAATAAGAGTGTTTAATAACTTGGATATTAAATACTTAGTACATTAAGTATTAGCTTAAAACATTCATGTCAATGCTGTCATCACTGGGCTGGAAGAATATCTTGAAAAAATTTTTTTCAGTTGATGAAAAAAATTCTTTTTGACTTCTTACTAGTTGGAGGAATAGTAAGGCAATAGTTAAAAGCTAATTTCATGTGTTTTCTGTTAACTCTTCTAATTTAAATAAAACCAGCTCTCATTTGTCTTTGTGAAGGGACTACTTTGAGTAACTGTTAAGTTTTTTTGACAGGGACTATAATCTTTTCATTGATAATGAGCTGCAGTTCTTATTTCAAACAAAGCATTGCTAGTTCTTTGTCTTTTTTAGTTTGATCATGGAAAAATGGAGATTCATAGCAGTTACCTGTTATTAGCTAAATAATCTGATGCTCAAAGTAACTTGTTTGAGAAAGTCTTTGAGCCAGAGTTAAAAAATGCTTTTAAAATAGAAACTGTTTTTCAATTGTCTGCTTTCTTTTCTTGAGAATTATGCAGGCGGTGAAGAGAGCCTTTAAAATGAATGCACCTTTTTCAACTAGATATTTTAATTAGCATGTAAGCAGAAGAGAGAAGATTGGTTCAGCAACCATTTTCCATAGAGAACTGCAGAGTTGCACATAACACAGAAGGATCTCTTGCCTGTCGTTCCATCTACACACATCACACAACAATGGCACCAGGTCACCTGGCTTTTACTTGCTGTGACTCCAGCCTTACCAATTTTAAATAGGTCTTTTAGTATACATTTAATGTATGTATCATTGTATTCTAGTTAAAGGATCCAGATGTTTGACATCATCATAGGAAAACTTTTTTAAAATAATACCAACATTTAATGCAAGTTCATAATCCTTCTTTTCTTTTTTTTCTTTTTTTTTTTTTTTTTTTTTTTTTTTTAAAAAAAAAAAAAAAAAAAAAAAAAAGAGGACGATAAATCTTTCACTGTGATATATCAAAATAA